TGCTAAGGTGTTCAAAAGCACAAGAAAGCAACAAAAGAAAAGTAAATTTAACATATGAATATGTTTGCGTGTACATAAGTAAAGATGAGCTATAGTGAGGGTATTGGCTAAGAGCTAGTTGAGAATCATGTGAGAAGGTTTTCCAAAGGAGAAAGTTGAATGTTTCTACTGGGTAACAGAGAGCCAGTCTACAGGAAGTGAACCAGAAGGACCAAGTGACAAAGAAACTGGTAAACATGGATAAATCTAAGTCAGTATTGACAATTGAGTAAATCAGTAATATAACAATCAAAGGGGAATGTTAAAAACAATGTGGAACCAAAATACTAGATGATAATTTGAAAGATAGAAAGGTATTTAGGAGAAAGGTAAAGATGCTTATAAGCTTTGAGAACATAAGTCAAATACCTGATGTTGATAAGGTGAGAATAATTAACAGAAAAAAAAATCCTAACCAGTAGAAGAAATACAGCAGGTTAAAGTAAAGTTCAAGTAACACAAAAAATGGTAGAACTGAAGGGAAAAAAAAGAAAGGAAAGATATATATATATTCTTTCTCTCCCATGATAAATGTATTTATTATGTATCACAAATATATACCAATAAAAATACATAAATTAAATATTCTACCAAAAAAATAGAAAATAAGATGTTGTAAATAAATCAAGATGTAACTAATCACAATATGGATAGATTAAGCTAGCAAGATTAAAGATAGTCTCAGAATCTACTGTAAAATATGTATAGAGTACAATAATCTAGAATTATATAAAGCAAATATTATAAATATATATACAAAATATACCCTAACTATAACAAAAGCTAATTTAGCTATATTAGTATCCAGCAAGCTAGACCTTAAGCAAAAATGTATTAATTAGGGACAGGTAAAGTAATATTAAAGAGATATCCACAAAAGTGCACAAAAAGAAAGAATTGGAAAGTAGAAAAAATAAAATGAGGAATTTAAAGGACTAGTCTAGCAGATATAGTAAATAAAAGGAGTTCCAGAAGGAGAGATGTTGAAAGAATATCCCTTGCATTAATGTAATGAGGGGATATTTAGACAATTAGCACAAAGTTTAGTGACTGAATTAATAAGTATATAGAAAACTAAGCAAATGATAAAAGTTGACAGTTTTCAACTCTTGAGAAAACAAGTACAAAAAAGGAAAAATAATCTAGTATGCCTCAAGATTTGACTATAAAGAGAATATATAATTATAATGATATAAACGCTCCATACTAATTGAACCAAAAAGATAATGTCCCTAGATTGTGAAAAGGAGAAAGGAAATGGTACATGTAAAGTAGTGAGAACAGGTAGAAAAAGGGGCTAAGACCTCATCTGCCACAGTGAGAAGTCAAAGACAAGGCCTAAAACTGAAATACAAAGAGGAAAGATACACCAGTGGAGATATTTGGTAGCACAAAAGCAAACATTTTAAAAATTCCCTAAGTGATATGAAAGTGGTTGTCTCTACGATCTGTCCCTTTTTAAGTTAAGACACTGCCAATTATTCTTCATAGAGGTTTCACTCCTGTATACTACCTTAAGCAACGCATGAAAGCGGGTTGTCCTGGACACCACTTTATCAGTTCAGGTCCTGTAATGAACTGATGCCAAACCAGGATCATTTATACAAGAATTTTACTGAGCTGGATGTCTGGGAATGATAGGGCAGGAGAAGGGGTGAACTTTCAGACTAGAATGTACCTGTGAAAGAAGGAAGGAAGATTTGGGTAGGATAAAAGATCACAGACTTCAGTATAGTAATGGGAAGTCCCAGAGCAAAAGTAGCAGGAGTATGCTAATTAGTCCTCCCACTATATCAGCTGTGGGCTGGAAGCACCATTGGAAAAAATATGGCTCCCATGTGCACACTGCAGCAGATCTGGAGCACAGCAGCCCTTAATCACCTGAGTTTAGTGGTGTATTGCTCTACTACAGAAAGTTAAAGGGAGCTAGCGGAGGATGTAGCATTTGTTGCTTTCTGCAGTTTAAATACTTCCACTGTGGCCAGTTTCAAGGTACCAAGGTGACATCACTGAACCCTGAGTGTGAAAGAGGTGTTGACAGCTGGCTTTCCCAAGCCAAGAGCCCGACCCAGCATACCATGATTGCCTGGGACACAGACTTTCAAGGAGGGAGATTTGAATAACAAACTGCCTCAGCCACCTCACTCACTAGCCTCAAGTTTCAACCTAGTATTTACCTTTGCAGTGTGATAACTACAAAGACTATTTCAAGATAGTGCTATTTTGTTTTCTTTAAAATGAAAAGTTGAGATCTTCTGATATATACTTAAGTCAGTATAATATTATATACTGATACAGTATTATCTACTTATAAATACATTTTATTACATAATATAGTTAATGAATGTTCTTTTCTGTGAATTGAGCCAATCTTCTGATTTATTTTTAATTGACTAATAAGATTCTATGTATTCACAATGTACACATGGTTTTGAAGTATATATACATAGGAAATGACTAAATTTGCTATTAACATAAGCATTACCTCAAATAGCATTTTAGGGGTGAGAACACATATCCCCTGATATGGTTTGGATGTTGAATGTCCCCAGAGGCCCACATGTAAAGGACTGTCCCACGGATGACACTACTGGGACACTACTCCTGTGGACATTTAAGAGGTGGGGCTTAAGAGGAGATGCTTGAGCCACAGGAATGTGCCCTCAAAGGGACTGTGGAAGTCTCCCTGTTTTCTCCCTCTCTCTCCCTCTATTCCTGGCTCCAGGTGTGGCTATTCCACCACATGCTCCCCCCACCGCCATCTGCCAGCCTCATCGGGGGCCCAAAGAAATGAGGCTGCCCAATCTTGCAGTTGAACTTCCAAAACTATGAGGGAAATAAACTTCTGTTCACTTCCTAAGTAGCCTGCCACAGGGATTTCATTATAGTAACAACTGACAAATACATCCCCACGCTCTTACATCAATCCACACTTTCAGCATTTTTCAAAAATATATTGTTAAATATAGTCACCATGCTGTAAAATAGATATCCTGAGCTAATCCCTCCCACCTAAATGAAATTTTGCAACCAACATCTTTTAACCAACATCTCCCAACCATCCTTCAATTGCCCTAGTCCCTGGTAACCACCATTCTACTCTCTATTTATGAGATTACATTTTTTAGAACCCACTGAGTGGTTATTTTTATTAAAATCTTTATGTCTATTTTCTAATGAGGGATCTCCAATTCCCAGGACATGGATGAGTATTGGTCTGTGGCCTGTTAGGCATCGGGTCACGGCAGGAAGTGAGTGGCAGGCCAACAAACAAAGCTTTATCTATATCTCCAGCTGCCCTCCATCAGATCAGCAGAAACATTAGATTCTCAGAGGAACACGAACCCTACTGTGAACTACATATACATGTGAGAGATCTAGGCTAAATGTTCCTGTGAATCATCCCAAATCCATCCCTCCCCCTGCCACTCCCCATGGAAAAACTGTCTTCCACAAAGCCCATCCTTGGCACCAAAACCTTGGGAACTGGTGTTCTAAATGACTATGGTCATAATATACTGATGTAGTAAGTGAAATACTGCTTATTGTCCCTTTACCATATGATTACTATTTTCAAAATTAATTTCTTTTAACCATCTCCAGAGGGTTGAAAAAACTAAATGTACTTTTAAAAGCTACATGTAGGTGGAATCTAAAATTAGAAAATGAATTGCTATGATTTCTCTTTTCCATAATTTTTAAGGTAACAATTATGTTAACAGTATCAAAATACAATGCCTACACATGACTTTTGGAGAAATAAATTTTAATATCATTATAGATGACTGAATGTAGAAATTTTATGGCGTCATCAAAGAAAAGTTTTGATCTAACTCCCAACACACACAGAGTAATAAGGGCATGCAACAATGTAGTAAAGAATTTTTCATCTGAATAGTTTAATAAAAACATAGCAGTATCTTTAAGAAAATTAATTTAATAACTATCATTATGAAAACTTTTTTTTTGGTACCAGGGATCAAACTCAGGACCTTGCGCTTGCAAGGCAGGCATGGTGCCACTGAGCTAAGTCCCTGGCCCTGAAAACATTGTTAATAATATATTCTATATTGACTCTGTTATATGTTATTAACTGAGATTATTGGCTGCATCCTATTAGCTTGGTATAGTTTATAAATCATTCACTTTTAAGTTAAACAATAAGAATCTGTCTCTGCCCATCAGAACTGCCTTATTACAGCAAAAATGGGAAACCAGTTCACACAGACAGAAGCAACTGGTGCTGTCTGGTTTTTCTGTTTCCTTTTGCTGGTTTGGAAATTTCTTTCGTGGAAGATTAAATTGACTTGTTTTGTTCAAAAGAAAAGAAGCTGTGAACGCAGAGATCTTTTAAGATGTTACACATTTTAAGTATTTCCAATCGCACAGATAACACTGAAGGGTCATAATCTTCCATTAAGGCCCACATAAGAACTCAATACCAAAAAAAACAGAATTCAATACCATCTCTATCCACAAATGCAGACAAAATTTGAAGCAAAAGCAGAAACCAAAACAGCAAAAATTCAACAACCACTCTTCCATAGGGTTTCATCATCTTTGTTAACTCTAGCACTACTCTCATATGTTTCAGGAGGGAAGGAGTCAAAAGATCCATGGATGCACAATTTAAAATACTGCCGTCTCTCAAAGAAAATATATCTACTTCATCATCTATTGGCTCCAAATGTGGTTGTTTTGCTTCTCCTCTACCTCCTCCAATCACAACCTTTAACCACAGCCATTTTCCCAGTAATTAGCATGTTCCACCAGAAATCATGGGGGGAAATGAGATAAAATGAAACTTAAGGTAATCAAACATAACTTGCAGCAAGAGTTTAATAGGATGAAATCTGAAAGTAGTGGCTACAAAGATTTTTGTATCTGTGCAATCTTTTCATCCTGATGTTTTCAGAACACATGATCCATAGTACTCAAACACACAAAATCAAAAAACTTACCTCATCCACATTTTCAAAGGCATTGATGATGTCATAAGGTAAACAAGACAGCAGATCGATCACAAACCAAGTTTTCAGATAATTCATCCTTATGAGTTTAGGGTCAGAAATGACCTCTCCACCAGGCCCCACAAAAGTTGTGTGGAAATTTAAAACAATATCAACCAGAAAAATAACATCCACCACACTGTCCAGCACCAACCAGGCTATATTGTTCTGCTTTGTTTTGAAAGAAACGTTGTAAGGAACCATAATGGCGGTGTAGAAGGTAAGAATTAAAATCACCCAATCCCATGTAGTTTTAAAAGCACAATAGTGTAAAATAATGTGTGGTGGTGTCTTTGGCGCTTCTTGTTTATACTGAGGAAGGATATCTGATCCCAGCTGAAGAACCTAAAAGAGAGAAAAAGTATATATAAACAACTTGCCCACCTCTGCACATTTGGTAATGAATTAAAACTGTCAAACCACAGCCTGTTTGTCCTCACTCGTGGCTTCAAAACCAGGCGTTCTACATAGCTTTGTCTCCATCTTGCCCAGGCTCACCTTGAATTTGCAGCAATCCTCCTGCCTCAGCCTCCCTAGTGCTGGGATTACAAGGGTGCACCACCACACCTGACCCATAAATTCTTAAACTACTTAGCAACAAATTATTCTACCAAGACTATGAGCTTTTTGTTGTGATGGGGTTTTAGATATAAAGAATCATACATAAGCATGGCTTCTCTTTTATCTTTCAACCATCGACTGGTCTATCGGTTCCAATTTGACTGTGGGCACCAGGGACATTTCCTTCTTACTCAGTGTTATTATTTCACCATTTATATCTGCACAGACTAGTTTGAGCACAAAGAAATCAAAGTTGGGAAATAAGAACAAACTCAGGGGAAGCGGGCATTACTACCTACATGGGCCATAGGACCCCATCCTCCTGCTAAAAAATAAATAAAAAATATATTTTATAACTATACTGGTACAAAGACAAATATATTAATATCACATATTTCTACCTAAAAGTTCTTCTTTCTTTTGCAGTTATAGAAATTGAAATGTTTCAAATGCTCCTTTAAGTGTATGGCCCTTCAAATAATTCCTTTCACAATAGCATCCAAAAAACTGAAATACCTAGGAATCATCCTAATGAAAGAAATCAAAGTCCTCTTCTCTGAAAACTAT